AACAATATGCATCTGCCATATTCTTCTAGTTGTTGAGGTACTTCATATGCCTTCCCTAATTGCTGATTTTTTTCTAATTCGTGGATAGAAATACCTTATAGTTTCGACATTGATCAGCAGTGGATATCGACTGCAGCCCTTCCTCTATTGTCACGCGAGTCTCACCTGGCCTACCGCAATTCGGACTGCCAAATTGGCCGCGTCTACTCTGGAGGGACAGAATAGACAAATGAGACAAGACCACAGAGGTGAATGCTTTCAGGGCGATTCTGTCGAGCCGTTTACGAAAAAAGTAACCGATGTTCGCCATCAGTAAAACAAACCGTTCTGAGGAAAGCAAGCTGTGTGGTTACCAAAGAGCGCGTTTTGCTGTGAAGCAATTTTCGACAAAGTGTACCCTGCACATAGTGGGCATAAAATCTACATCTAAACGCAGCCCCTAGCAGACCACGGACTAAATTTCCAACCCGTAAGTCAAATGGGAAAGGTTTACACTAAATATCACCTTTAGTTAGAAGCTAATTAGCTGACAGCGATCCGAATTTTGCTTCACGCAAGTCAATTTATAGGAAATAGAAGGTCAATGGTCAGGAACCTACCTTTAGCATACAGGTCTAATAGAACAAATGAATTTAGCCCTGGATGTTTTAAACTAAACCAAGTTTGACTAACTAGAAGAAGAACCTTAGGAAACACGGACCCGAAGGACTGGAAAGAAGAAAATGAACGGTGGCCAGTGTAGGTGCGTCTGGGCAATAACATTTCAGGGAACAGGAAAGCAGGGTTGGTTCAAGAACGTTAATGTATCCCGAGGACTCAAGCATTTCTAGGTAACTTAACATTCGTCTATTTTAACAGGTGGACGATAGTTAACGCAATCCCTTGATGAACTGCTCCGCTTCTAGTGATGTAACTGCAATAGTAGGCCTACGAACTTTGCAATGACGTTAAAATGTGTTGAGTATGTAAGATTAGAAAAAACAGTCTTATGGACACAGAAACCATCCCTTCTACTCATCCATTAGATGAATGCGTATATTCGACTTACAACATTGTAACATATTAGCCGTTAATTATCTTGTAAGTAAAATACGGTACGATGGAGGATAAATACGAATCAAGGCACCAGATCGCGTATCTTGATCGAAAAAGTATAAAATTACATCCAAAAGGTTAGCTAGTTCATACAGAATGTGAATAAATAACATCACGAATGTACCACAGGGGACAGAGTCATGAGCCATACTATGATAAACAAACCCATCAAATATGACCCTGCAATGTGTCAAACAGACATTAAAGATGTAATGAAACGTATCTAAAAAGGTCAACTGGCCTACCAAGTGACGTGCTCCCAATAAATAAATCCGATGGCTAGCAAACAAGTTTGTTTTCTCTAAAACTCCAGCTGCATGAGAACTGGTCACTAGGAATTACTCTCCAGGCCAAAAATAAGTAAAAACCGGTACCGAAACAGAGAATGTATCAGGCCTACCAGGCAGGCGATCAGATACCCGTAAGTATTTGTTGCAATATGACTGCGCCTCAAATGCTTCAGAAGGAGAACATAAGAGGAGCTGACATATAGATAAAGAGCTGTTGTGTAGGTGACAAAGGTGGTGAAAGAAATTTGTTTCCCAACACCAGATACTACATGAACCTGTTCGACAAGTCATCGCTGTCGATGTTGAGCTGTATATAATTACAAATCTGACCATGGAGCCAACCTAAGATGAAAACGCACCCCTTATTCCGCCGAGTTCAAGAAGGGTAAAAGGATAGAGTTCCAAAAAAGTAAAGAAAAGCAAAAAATTGAGAAAAAAGAACTTAAGCATAATAAAGCTGGGAAAACGTATCCTCGAATATGGATGTTATTCGGGAAAGAAATAGAAATGTTAAATGTCCAAATTTTACACGTGCTAGACGTCAGAGTAATTATTTGCTCAAAAATTGACGCGGAAAGAGAACAGGCCTCGCATAGTAAGCCGTGGACTAAGTTTGGTTGCCTTTAAATAAAAACCTTT